TGCCTAGATAAGGAGGGGAAACCTGCCTGCCTGCTGCCGATAAGGGTACACATTCATATGCATGTAGAAATATTCAACAATGTGTTTACCATTCACAGCTGGAGCACCGCAAGAACTACCAAGACGAGACGGAGGAACGCTTCCGCCTGAAGATCTTCAATGAGAACAAGCACAAGATCGCCAAGCACAACCAGCGATATGCCACCGGTGAGGTGAGCTTCAAGATGGCAGTCAACAAGTATGCCGATATGCTGCACCACGAGTTCCACACCACGATGAACGGCTTCAACTACACCCTGCACAAGCAGCTGCGGTAAGAAAAAACAAAAGATTCCGCTCTCCAATGCTAATGTCTTATTTTATTTGCAGTGCTGCCGATGATAGCTTCAAGGGTGTGACCTTCATCTCGCCGGAGCATGTGACGCTGCCCAAGTCAGTAGACTGGCGCACCAAGGGCGCTGTCACCGATGTCAAGGATCAGGGGCACTGCGGCAGCTGCTGGGCCTTCTCCAGCACTGGCGCCTTGGAGGGACAGCATTACCGCAAGTCAGGCGTGTTGGTGTCTCTGTCCGAGCAGAATCTGGTGGACTGCTCGACGAAGTATGGCAACAATGGCTGCAATGGTGGACTCATGGACAATGCCTTCCGCTACATCAAGGACAACGGCGGCATCGATACCGAGAAGTCCTATCCCTATGAGGCCATCGATGACTCTTGCCACTTCAACAAGGGCACGATCGGAGCCACAGATCGCGGGTTCACTGACATTCCCCAGGGCAATGAGAAGAAGATGGCGGAGGCAGTGGCCACCATTGGACCCGTCGCCGTTGCCATCGATGCCTCTCACGAGTCGTTCCAGTTCTACTCCGAGGGCGTCTACAATGAACCTCAGTGCGATGCCCAGAACTTGGATCATGGCGTGCTTGTTGTTGGCTTCGGCACCGACGAGTCCGGCGAGGACTACTGGCTGGTGAAGAACTCCTGGGGCACCACCTGGGGCGACAAGGGCTTTATCAAGATGCTGCGCAACAAGGATAACCAGTGCGGCATTGCATCTGCTTCCAGCTACCCTCTGGTCTAGTCTGGCACCCACAGCCTTTATATGATACACACAACACAAATTCAACACCCAACCACAAGCATCTCAAAAGAAACTTTAACTTGTAGCCAATATCTTATCTTATCCTTTGAACTCTTACACTACTTATTCCCCCCATCACATTTCATTATAACTCCTGCCATGGAAACCCATTGCAAAAGCTGCATTTTATGTTGATGTTTGTACAAGAAAAAAGAATACAAATTAGGAAATAATTTCAAAAGTTTACGTTTACCCAACTGGGTGGGAAATGGTGAAGGTTTTGGCCCACAGTTTCCTGAACTGGAAAGCTGTTGCATCGCGATGCTTCGGTAGGTCGAACCACGCGGCGTAGTAGAGAGAGGAAGAGGGTGCGCGCCAGACTAAACCGAAAACTGTTAAATAATTCCTAAAATCATCACCTGAGATGTTTGTGTAGTTTCAATTCAATTAGCTCGCGCCATAAGTGCTGAGAAATGACAGCCTTAATGGTGGCATTCCACTCTCCACTACACTACACTACACTATTTGTCAAATGAAAGGGCATATTTTGGTATATTTTTGTGTGTTTTGCGGTATCGGCCCAGTTGCCTCTTTTAATAATTTACATACTGAAGAAAAAGCTCTCTTGCTTTCAGAAGGTGTGATTTCAATGAAAAATTCATGTACAAATTTGAAAATATATAAGGTCATAAGGTATACAATAGAATAAAAAGCGTATTTATAATAAGCCAAATTGATTCTTCAATCGGATTAAATTATTGCTTCAGTGTTAAAAGTCTTTGCATGCTAGTAAAATCAAATAGAAGATCAAAATCGAGTAATATGATTTAATACTACGGTATATTTTTAAAAAGGGAAGGTATGTTTCGGTATATTTTATCGATAATTCCGCGGTCGGTCACACTGTTCATCAGCACATGTGTCTCTGGTTCTGTTGACAACATTTTGTATCAAAAACAATCTAAAAATGGTAAGTCTGAGCCCCTAATTAAAACCTACTACATAATTAATAACTGTGCGTCCTTCAGGTAAAGGGCAAGAAACCTTACATTGACCGCAAGAAGGCGGTAACCTTTCATTTGGTTCATCGCAGTCAGCACGATCCACTTGTCACCGACGAAAATGCGCCGCAGCGTGTGCTCTTGGAGGCGGCTGCCAGGCAGCGCGAGTCGCAGGCCAAAAAGAAGGAAGAGGCCCCAGCGGATCCCGCCAAGCGTCAGGAGGAGCAGAAGAAATTCGGCATTCACTTTGATGACGACTACGACTACTTGCAGCACATGAAGAAACGTGAGAACGATGTGGTCTGGGAGTACATGGAGAATCCAAACCATGCCAAGAAGAGGCAGGAGGACGAAAAGCCGTCTACAGCTCCGAAGTTAGTGTTGCCCAGTTCGGTTTTTGCCAGTGAATTTGAAGAGAAGGAAGGAATGCTGAACAAGGCCGCTCCCCAATCGTTGCGCTTGGACTGGGATCCAGATGTGGTGGCGGCACTGGATAGCGATTGCGAGAATGAAGAGCTGGAGGATGATTTTGTTATGCAGGCAATGGGCGGTGAGGGTGATGAAGATGACGATGACGAGGAGCAGGATTGGACCGACGAAGAGGATGGTGGCGATGAGGATATGGACTTTGATTCCGACAATATGAATGAGGACGAAGACGAGGATGAGCTAATGGACCGCCTGGCGCCTTTGATGCGTGAACGTCGCTTCGATGACGAGGAAGTCAAGTCTCGATTCACAGAGTACTCCATGTCGTCGAGTGTCATTCGTCGCAATGAGCAGCTCTCCTTGCTGGACGACCGCTTCGAGAAGTTCTATGCCAGCTACGATGATCCCGAGCTGGGCGACCTGGCCCTGGAAGATATCGAAGGCAATTGGCACCAGAAGCACCCGGTAGTCATGCAATGCTTCCAGGAGTTCAAAAAGAAGAACAAAACAATCGACTACAACAAAGAGTGGGATCGCGAGCGCATTGCGAAGTACCGGAATGTGGTCGAGGGCGAAGAGGATCCCAACGAGGAGCTCGTCGAATACGAAGTGGATGATCCCAAGCAAAAGAAGTGGGACTGTGAGTCCATTCTGTCAACCTACTCCAATATCTACAATCATCCAAAGTTGATCGATGAGCCAAGGCGTAGCCGTCGCTCCAGCGCCAGTTCCGCCCCAGAGCCCATACAGATCGATCCCAAGACCGGACTGCCTGTCAATGTATTGCGAGGCGGCGTTGATGGCCAACTCACAGCCAAAGCACTGGCCAATCTGGCTGATGACTCGAACGCTGCAACAGGCCCTAAGTCGCTGTGCGCCAAGTCGGTGCTCTCCACGCTGAGCGTACTTTCGATCCGCCCCAAGGACGAGTCTGCCGAGGAGAAGAAGGAAAGGAAGCGTCTGCTAAAGGACTACCGAAACGAGCGACGCATCGAGAAGAAGGCCAACACAGAGGCCTTCAAGGATGAAAAGAAACGGCAAACGCACGTCAAGATCAACCAGCGAACAAACCAGCAGGGCGCCACAATTGTCTAGCTTAAGTTCCCGGCTCAGTTCTTTAGGTTTAAATATGAATTGTTGTGTACACACATAGCGTATGTATAAAGTGATATCTATATGAGGAGTAAAAGCCACTCACTGTCTCTGTAAACTGTTGCCTCTGACGATTATGGCCTGATGGCTGACGGAAAAGTGTACGAATTTGATGGCAATGCTTCTGCATGGATGGGGAATTGGACACTGGATGTCGGGCTTTGGTTGGTTGGCGTCATCGTCAGTTGTCTGCTGGCCATTAATCAAACTGGCTGCCTGCGCCACACGCGCTGCACATCTCCGTGCTGTGCGTGCCAAGCAAAGCATAGTCGTGATACCCTAGCAGGGATATGCCGCTGTAGTTGGGCTTTCCAACAACCAACAATTCCCCAACTGACGCGGATAGAGTGGCAGATAACAAGAGACTTGACTTGGCCTGCCATGCAACAATTAGCTCAGCACGAAAACGGGCTGACTGTCGCACTGCCTAACTGACTGTTGACTGTGACTGCTGACGATTCGCGAATCGTTCGTCAGTCGAACATAAAACGGAAAAATAAAAATAAAGTTAATTTCATTGTCAGTTTTTGGCGAACAATACAACAAGGATAATGAGAATGAGAATGCCATAACAAAATGCCACTTTACCTTGCCCCATGACTGGATGTCCTCTCCATGTGCAGTATATTTGTACAGACATCTGTTTGGTATGGTGGGTATGTCAGTATGTACTCATGAGTGTAATTGTCTTTGTATATTATAGTTAGTCCTACAAACGCGATTTGTATTTACATTGCCATATAGAAATTTCCCAGGAGGCATGGGGCCTGGGGGGACCAGGGAAGTAGGGCCTTGTTTTCCAGCCCTTTAGCGTACGGCTGTTACCATAGTTAATGGAAGGTTGGCCTAGCCCTAGTCCTAGCCCCAGGCACCGCTCATGTGCCAGTTGGCAGTTGTGTTGCCTGTTTTGGTTATTTTGTGGAAAACATCAAGTCAAATCGCATGCACTTCAATGGAAAAACCCGGTCAGCTGTTACATGTGAACATATGTTCCATTTTTGGATAGTTATACAAAGAATTAACACAGTTGATCCCTTCACCAGAACTGAGTAATGTAAATGGCAATGGAGATTGGAAATTTCCAAACACAATTTCCATGGGAATCCAACACCAATTTGCAACCGAACTGCACCCGTGCTCATGCTCCTTCCTTTGCGTCCCCCGACCAAGCCAAAGCCAAGCCAGAGCCAAACTCCTTGTAAATGGAAACCAGTCCCGTTACAGTTGGTTGTCGTGCCTGAGTCTCCATTGAACGGTCGAGCGGCGTTGGGGGACCCTTTTATTGCTGTTGTTGTATTAAAGCTAGCAAGGAAAGCGGCAAAGAAATTCGCGTATTTTTTTTCGTGTCCGTTGGGTTCAGTTTTAGTTCCTGAACGAAGGCGAACGGATTCGGGCGCGCGTCGTTCCCGCAACGCGGTAATTTCCACCATAATATTTAGATTTAGATTTAATGGAACGGCGTGGAGTTGCCACAGTGGAGAGTGGAGAGTGAAGTGTGAAGAGCCTGGGGGCTCGCGTGAGTCAAGCGTTAAAGTCGTGTAATTGCAGGCTGTTTCTAGGAATGAAATCGCAAACAGAAAGGAATTCATAAATGCCACTAACTACATAATTAATGCAATTGTTGTTGTGGGTCGGTAACTTTGTTTTAATGGTGCACAATCATAATCTTTTATGTAATGCTACAAATAATTAAATATTCATTTGTTTTAATTCTGTGCGGATCTTTTGAAGCGAAACCGAACAGCGTGCGAGTGTAAATGGATATAAATGATTTCTGTTGTTGATTTAATTAGTGAAAATATCAAATCAAAGCCTAACCAGCTGCCCAAATATTTATACATACAAAAAAGGAATATGTGTGTGTGGTGCAAATGATTTAAACACTCGCTATCTAAGATCTATTAGTTGACAAACAAAAAAAAAAAGAAGGAAAAAGTGTCGCGCATCTGCCTACACCACACCACTTGATGTGGCTTAGGCCGGATATGGTTCATCTGACTACGATCTACATACTACGATCTGCCGTGCAGTAGTAGTAGAGGAATGCCAGTAGAGTGTGCTCTCAGTTCTGGAAGTGGATGTGGAATTTTTAATTTGCACATGACCATTGCCAGTGTCAGTGTCAATGTCAGCGAACAGGAAGATAAGATAAGAGCTCTGCGAGAAACAGAAAGTAATTTATAGGAAATGGAAGTCCAGTTGAGTCCAGTCCAGGCAATTATGTGGCAAGCCAGGAAGTGTGTAATTGATCATCAGGTGTCGCTCTCTCACTCTCTTTCTACATGTATTTGGATGGCCATATGTATGACCAACCCATAAGTAGTGGCGTAGCATACGATTGAGCTGTTATTGCATATCATACGAGTATTGCTAGGCGGACACAACAAAATGTAAGCCTCTGTCTCCTCTGCTCGCAGCGGACTTAAGTAAAATTGGCACGCGATTCAATTGAATCTTGGCGAGAAGTGTGCTGGCTGTGCCACTGCTCTGTGGCAATTACACTTCCAATGCCCTGACCGCTGCTTGTCGTTTGCCTTTGCTTCTCCTCTTTAGCTTGGGTATCAGCTTACGGCCCGCTATCCGCAGTCCAGTCAGTCAGCCCAGCCCACACACAAAGGCCCTCGGCTGAGGAATCTACATATCGTGGATGCAAAACTCACACTCGTACTCGTACTTGTACATATCTACATACATACATGGATGAGCACACTTTAGCGACCAAAGCTCGATTGTCTTGAGTTTAGAACAAAGCGAGCTGGAGGCAAGACACAAAACGAGGATTACCGGTCACCTGTCTCGGCATCAATCAAGGACTCAGCTACGATCTGCTCTGCTCTGCTCTGTTCTGCTCTTTCCTGTATTGTTTTGTTCAGTGTTCAGTGCAATTATGTACAAATGTACACAAGTATATACATATGTACATGTTATGTTTCTATGAAAAGTGAAAGAAAGTAAACGAAAACGAAATCAAATGTAAGACTACATATTGTAGTACTTCCCTTCCGTTCTAATCGAAAAAGTTCAGTTGAAACCAAAACCACAATCACAACCAAAGAATGATTCCCAAAATATTGTGTTACAGAGACCGAATTATGAAATTCCCACGTCGGTGTAAAGTGAGATGATTTGAGGCCTGAAGTTACAAACAAATTCCTTTCCCGTTGCGTCGCCCCAACATCATGCTTGACAAACTCAACATAAACGCATTCATATCGTTTGGATTGGGATTCATATTGATATGGTAAGTGATACACAGCACTGACTGGATAGACTCGATATGGATTCAGTTCAAGGGACCTTCGTATGCTTTGCCAAATGACAAATCACCCAAAAAGCAAGGTCACTCGCGCAGCCCCAAACAAATGGCAATCCTGCACGGCATACCATGCTCGCTCGTATGAGTAGCTACAACATCCGATTGGTAAAATCGGAAACTATGTAATATAATTCGCTTACAAAACAGTTAAACAGAAGCAGTCCAAAGTCAAGCAGAACAGAACGGAACACAACAACAGCAGCAGAGGAGAAGACCCTCCACACCGTCAAAGCAGCAAACACGAAAGAAGTTAATTTCAAATTCAGACTTAAATTGACAAAGTTTCTGCAATAGTTGCATGTGGCAGCCATCAGGCTAGAGCTCCCCCATCCTCTCTTCATATAAAGAATTGTATTTGAATTTTGTTCCTTTTTCTATTGTTTTTTTTTTTTGGTTTGTTTTTGTTTGCTGCTCACTTTGCTGCTGCAGTCTGAGCGAAGCCACGGAGACCCAAGAGAACTACACAGCCAAGCCGCGAGTGGTTCTTCCGCCTAATTATGTCAAGGGTAAGTTAAACCAACCAACCAACCAGCCCCAACCCCCCACCTGAACTGAAATTACTCGTACAATTGTAATGGGTTAAATTTACTCGTGTGCACTCCACTCCCCTGCACTTTGCCTGTCTGCCGTGTCTGTGTTTCTTGTGTGGCTCTCTCCTCCTTTTGTTTTTTAATTGCATGGATTTTTTGCACCATTCTTTCTCTTCGTTCTCTTGTGATTTCTGATTTGTTTGCTTTTGCACCATGAAACCGCCGCAGGATATGGATGGATATGCGTGTTCGGCTTCGGGTTTTTTCTTCATGGTTTCTGTTTTTTGTTTTTGTTCATTTCGTGACGCGGTAATTTTCAGGGCCTCCGTCTATGGTATACTGGGTTATGGTTACGGTTACGTTACGGTTCTCCACTTTGGTGCACAATTTAGGCCCCCTTTGACGTCATCGCCAATTACGATCGATTCAAATCAAAATAACATTTACCGGCGACAAAGGGTTTGGCTGCAATTTGGAGCGAATCTCTTGAAGATCTGTCAAGCCAGTGGAACTGGCTAACTTATGGATCATTGAGTGGATTTCCCACCCGAAATCTTCTCTGGAAAGTTATGAATAATTTAACAAAAATATTGCCTAGGCCGCCTCTAAGGTTCTTTCTTCATTTGTGGGGCAGCTAATCAACATCTTTATTTGTATCGATTTTGCTTGGTTGTATAATACGCATTACCATTTGGCCCTGAACTTGAAGAGTGTCCGAGGTGGCTGTGGGTGATGTGTGTGTTTCCTTTGAACCCACACCTGAACCGAGACAGAGGCCCACGAAAATGAATTTTGCGCACGAAAGAAGTTCAAAGAAATGTATTATTTTGTATGGAAAGGTTGTGTAACCATTGCATGGACTTGTTACCTAGCTAAAGATAATCCAACGATCGCATTGATTGTTTTATTTGCAGAAATACGACCGCCCTCGAAGAAGGGTTCCCCAGTGATAGTAGACTTTAGCATATTTGTTGTAGATATTAACTCAATTAACGTAGAGGATATGGACTTTAGGTAAGTGGCGGCAAGTCCCTGATCAAATGCGGGTGACCATAATGGATCCATATAGCAATGCTGTGTATATTTTCAGAGTAGACATGTTTATACATCAGCGCTGGCACGAGTCACGACTGGAGATACCCGATGACATATTCGAGGAGGGCGACGACTATGTGACACTGCTTCCAGAAGTCTTTGAGAATTTTTGGCAGCCGGATCCGTATTTTCTCAACTCAAAGATTGCCGGTACGTTCTTTAAAGCTTTAACTATAAATCAATTTATGTATTAGCTATTTATGTATGTATGTGGTGTATGCCTTTGTGTGTGCGTCTGTAGGAACAGATACACAAAAAAGATATAAGAACAATTACCATTCCGTGCACTTTGTTCAGCCGACAATTATTGTATAACTTCTCGGATGATCATTTGTTGTATATAGTAACAAATTATTTTGTATTTGTTTTCCTGTTTTTCCTAATCCGTTCCATTAATTTCTCTACCGACTAATCGTGTTCCCATCCAAAACTACTAACAATACCTGAAACCGCAACATGTGTAGGATATGGAAGTCCATATGTTGCCTCCACCTCTATGCTACGCAATAAGGGTGAAAGAGATTCGAAAAACTTTCATCTGAACAAAGATTTAAGTATATCAAAACAATCAACAATGAATCTAAATCTAGCATCTGTGTTTTTACAATCAATCCATAAACTGCCATAAAATCTGTATCTGTATATTCAACACTCTGAGCGTATTCTAATGATATCCAATGAATAAGTTGTAGTGTATACCTCAACCATGCTGGCATTCCATTACCAAACTCCCTCTCCATTCAGGAGATACAACAACTATAGTACCGCCCACGTGGCACCGTCGCATTGCACGCACGAAATCCGTTCCCAACACACTACCAATTCCACTACCATTTGGCAATGCCATGGTCACCCAGGACACACCCACACCCACACCCACACCCACACCCACTCCAACTCCAATTCCAACCACAGCGAAACTCTAAACCTGCCACTTCCCACTCACCCACACGCTCCAAACTAAAAACGAAAACGAAAATTTGCAGTTGCAGTTGCACTCGGAGTCCTGATTAGATCTTTCACCTTGAAATCACGGTTGTACCTTGTCGGATGGGGAATGTGTGGTTTTCTATTTGGTTTTTCGTTGTTTTTTGTGGTTTCCATTGTCAACATTTTAAGGACAAAAATCGATGGCGAATCGGTCAAGCTTTATATCTTCCTATCACGTTATTTTCAACTGCAATTTTATCAGCGCAGTAACAGAAGCCAAGATTCAATTAATCTTGGGCTTAAAAGAATAACCTTAAAACTCTTTCAGTTTGTTAGATTATAGTGTTTTCGTGTGGGTTAATGGTTGAGTCAAGTATCATGGGAGAGACGTTGACACTAGACACAATGGATCTCATATTAATGGAAAACAAAAACTCCTTTTAGCGAAACGTGCTAGGCTTAGGATCCGATATACTTGTAGAGCCGACACAGCACTCCACTCCACTCCTCTCTCCCTCGTAGAAAGTTGCGCTTAAACTTAGACATAAGAACACTAGCGAGCACCTGCCACATCGATCAATTAAACAACCAAACAACCAAACAACCAACCGACCAACCACCCATCCAAAAACACACACAACACAAAAATGAGCAAAGAAAAATGAGTCTATCGATTCCAATGCCATAGTTCTAATCGAAACCCATTTGTTCCGCATCTCTGCAACGTCTTCTCGATGTCTTCTCGTTGTAGAAATAGCGACACTGACCCACAAGTTCACATCGGTGACGCTGTACAAGAACAAGACGGTGCGCTATGCGGCACGTATGCACGCCATCATTGCCTGCCAGATGGAGTTCCAGCTGTACCCCATGGACATCCAAGTGTGTCCCATCTACATTGAGAGCTGTGAGTGCTAATACCCCCCAACCTCCCGCAATATTCCACACAGACAAGAGACAAGCCTCTAATGCAATTCCATTCACAATTCACTCAATGAAGTCTCATCGAACAACCAGAAGGTGAAGCTTCGCTGGTCGGACTCCGGCGTGACCCTCAATCCCGAACTGAAGCTGCTGCAGTACAATCTGGGCCAGCCGCTGCAGCTGGAGGAGAGCGATGGCTACATGCCGGAGAAGGTTGGCAACTTCTCGCGCCTCACCGTTTACTTCCGCTTCGAGCGACAGATCGGCCATCATCTCATCCAGACCTTTGCCCCCTCCTCGCTGGTGGTGATGCTCTCCTGGTTCAGCTTCTGGCTCGGCCTAGATGCCATCCCAGGACGAGTCACACTCCTTGTGACCTGCATGCTGACGCTTGTCACCATGTTCACGGGTGCGGACATACCCCCAGTGGCATATGTGAAGGTGGCCAATAAGAAAAACCCCGAAAATAGAGTTCAGTGTCTCTAAGGAGAGTCTTCTGTTTGCAGGCCCTGGACCTGTGGATGGCCGGCTGCATGCTCTCCGTGTTCGCAGCCCTGGCCGAGTTCGTTGTGGTGAAAGTGCTGGACGTGCAATACCAGTACCAGGTGAACCGCATACCCAAGGTACTGCCCATGGTAAGGCAGAGCTGTGGATATCCCTTTAATAAATAATGCCACCTTCTTATCGTCCCATTACCATTTGCATTCTGGTTTGCATTCGCGTAGCGCATCAGCAACATGGAAAAAGGTCAATGTGCAACGGTGGCTAGCTGGGAGGGCGGTGCCGTGCGCTCGCGCAAAGCCACCCAAACGCCCACGACGCCCGGACAGGTGAGTGATTATCTTTTTAGATAATTTTGTTTTTGTTTTGTTTTGGGAATGTGTGCAGCTGTCATGTGTCGCCTTAATTCGCAGACATCGCTGCAGGGCAATGGGGGACCGCCGAAGCCGGCACGCAGGCAGAGCCTTCTCTCGGTGGCATGGACGGACACGGACACGGGTGTCGAGAAGATAATGTGGCGCGAGATCGATAAGGTGTCCCGCGCTGTCTTTCCCATACTCTTCTTTGTGTTTGTCCTTCTGTACTGGCCGATACTGTTGATGAAGTCCTCCTAGGAATTGGGGAGTTCCAGGCCGCGCGTGGCTGGACTCCGTTAAAAACAAATCGAAGGAAGATTTGCACAAAGAGAAACCCTAAAATCCATCAACGAAGTACAAGTGAAGACTACAGTTACCTATAATAAGTAATTGCCAGCAGAGGACACACACCATGTACCATGTACCATGTACAGAAATGTCGCATAACCAAGTTATCGACAAATTTGCTCACTCACGGAGAATACTCGCATTTATTTTGAGTATTTTTTCTGCTTTGTATAAAACCTATCTTGTGTTTAATGATAATTATAGTTTCACTTTAATTTTAATCAATGCCCCTAACACTCAAACTCACAGAACTGCGACTAATAGTTATGCTTCAGCTGCTCCAGACATGTCCTACCTTTGATTTGGCTTTTACATTTAATTTCCCTAAACTCAGCACTCACACTCACACACAACAATAAATATGCTGGAATATAAACATATATATATATATATCACTGTGCTAGTGACAATATATATATATATATGTACATACATATATGGAAAGTCGGAGGCAGACATTTTGCTAGCAGAGAAATATTTCAACTTGGAAATCTTTTTGTATTAGGCTTAGGCAAATCAGCCAAGAAATTGCATTGGTGCTTTAAGGAGATAATAAAATGGCCTTTAAGGAAATAAATAAATTTGGATATTTGTAAATAGCTTAACCAGAGGAACAGTGAACGCTTTTTAGAGATTTTTACATATACATATATAAACAATATTTACATTTAATTAAGCCATTATAGCGTATTTTTATGCAAGCATTAGGAGCTGTGGCTTTTCTATATAAATATGTAAAGCGATCGCACACCAGGATTGTACTCGTAAGCGTACATAAAATATAATTCTAATTATTGTTAAGGCTAAATCGAGTTTATATTTGATATGAAAATACAGACAGACAGACACAATGTAAATAAATTACATCACACACACACACACACACACACAATAATTACCATTTAAAAGAAATATTTATCTAAGATTTATGTATCTGCTATGCCAGCTAAGTTTACATATGTAAATGTATGTACTATATATCTAGATATGTATTTATGTATATCCTTTCCATCTCTTAAGTTGCGGTGTTCACTAATCACTGATCATAGGTGCGGTGAGCTCTCGGTTAGGGTTTATAGGAAAAGCTTTAAATTTATTCTTAATAAAAGAAAAATCGCGTACAATTAACAAAACCAACTGAAACATTTATTCATCCTCCTCGGATTCGGTGGCACTCTCCTCCTCGTCACTGAACTGCATCTGCGCTGAACCATTCTCTTTTGTTCGTATGAGCAGCATATCATCATCATCGCTGTCCCCGCCTTTGGTGCTCTTATTTTCTTGCTCCAACTTGTCGGCCCTGTCCAGGAGTACCCTCAGAGTGTACTTGTTGTAGTCACAGCTGAAAGGATATCAAAGAAGTCGCTCAAACTGACTCTCTCTTGCAATCAAATACTCACATTTTATTGAGGGTTTCATATTTCCTAGAGAGGATCTCATGTAGGGCCAGCAGGCCAGTGTGCTGGAAGACACCATCCTGGTTGCCATGCTGTGTCAGCAGACAGCAGCTCCATTGCAGATAGAATTCAATGTGTGGCGTGGACTGTAGGAGGCGGGCCAACTGCTGCAACAATCGCTGGGCAAAGTCTGTTGACAGATCCGCACATACGAGTTCGACTGGAAAGATGTAGGAAAAAGCCTTTTATTGGCATGAATTTACAAGCACTCCGCGTGCATGCAATGCAGACACGAGCTGGCAGATGGCAGAGCAGTTTATGGCCAGTTTATGGCCATTTACATACGTGCAAAAGGGGAGGCATGGGGCATTAACCAAGGAAAAGCAAGCGAGAGAGAGAAACAGAGCCTTGAAACTGTTTATTAACACAGCAAAAGTGCAAATTTGCACATTCGATCGAAGAATGGAGTCAGGGCAATGGCGACCTCCTCTGGTGAGTGTGTCGCGGTCTATTTTTAGACACGGCAAGAGCCCCGAAGGTTGCCCAACTGACAAGGACTGGCCCCTGAATAGTATGAAAAACGATTTAGCATTTCACTTACTATCCCTGTACGGCACACGCTCCAGCACCAAAGCAATCAAATTGGGTTCATTTAGCTTCAAGGACATCACCAGAGCCTTTGTAAAGTCCAGCATTTTGAGGGACTCATGAACGGCCTTGGGCGTCACCTCCAGCGACAAGTCAAACGGATCAAAAACAACGCCTACATGGAAAAGAAAACCAATTTATAATATGACAAAACAAATGTAAAATCCTTTGCTTACCCTTATCCAAGGCATAGATGCAGAGTCCCTCTGTTCCAGCAGCGGCAAAGGCCTGGCCAGTGGGCGAGAACTTCACAGAGAAAACTCTTACCTCTGGCTGAAAGCGTCTGGAGGACATGTCACCCTTGCGTACACCAGGCAGTCGAATGGCAACCTTTCCACCCTCAAACTCCTCACGTTGCTCCACTAATGCCATATTGCCAAACTCGCTTAAATGCTTACGACTGATGTAATCCTAATAAAAGAAGTTCCAAAGAATAAACATAAATAAAACAATGTGCTTTTGGTGTGCGCTTACATTCAGGCCATCTAAGCTGTGATTCTGTGTGATCTGGAATTTCTTGAGCAGGATGGCCTCCTTCACATGGTAAATGCATATATTGGGCGACTTGCCAGCCGCCAGCAGACACTCTCCATCCGCAGAGTACTCAATCGTGGAGAAGTAACTGGAATCAGAATTGATTTTAAGTTTAAATTTGAACAACTTCCACTGCTAATCTGCCACTCACTTGGCTTGTGCGTTCTTCTTAGCTGTTATCACATCGGTTTCCATGCGACCGCTGCTCAGATCATTGCGTCCTTCTATGCTGGTCACTTGGCTGGCAGATTTGATGTCAAAAATGGTTATGTTACCGCTCAGTGTGGCCACCGCAATCTGAATAGTAGAAGAATAATAGAATGTATTATTGTAGAATGATTTAGTTGGGGCATTTATTCCTTTCTTACCTCTTCACCGCTGGGACTGAATGTCACATTTGTGACATCTGAGACAGCGTCAATGGTTTCATGCTCGCTATTGCTCTCCAGGCAATTCCAAATCTTGACTGTCTTGTCCCAAGAGCCGGAAACCAGAGTGGATGATGTGGCTACGGGCGAGAAAGCCAACGAGACCACTGGACCCTCATGACCGCTGATGATCTCGAGCAGTTTGCCCGTTTTCACCGACCACAGGAATATGTCGAAGATATCCTGCCCGCCTGCCACCACCAGCTCACCGGAATAGTCCACTGCAACGCAGGAAAATTGAGCGGGACTCGGGGACGTAAAGGTCCTAAAGTTGCGATATCTGATGACATCGAAGGCACGCACTGTGCCATCGAGGGAGCTGCTGACCAAGAACTTCTTATTCCTACTGAACTGGATGCCCGTCACACCGCTGGTGTGCTCACTGAAGGTGACGAAGCAGAAGCTGCTTTGGGTGTTCCACAGCTTAACCTTGGAGTCCTCTCCGCCAGTGGCAATGTACTGGCCATCGGAGGAGTAGGCAATGCATGTCATCTCGCTGCTGTGACCCTGTTGCTTCATGATGTACTGCTCGCTCTGCCACTCCCAGACCAAGAGCTGTCCGATCTCACGCGAAGCCAGGGCCACCCAGTCACCCGTGCAGTTGAATATTGCCGCCGAGATGGGATAGTCGGAGATGCTCAGCGAGTGGATCATGTTCACATCGGGCAGCTCGTACAGGTAGAATGCTCCGGTGCTGAAGGCCACAACCAATACCTTGGTGCGCCTATTATAGTTGGCAGCCGTCAATTGGACATCCCTTTGCTCTTTGCGTGGCTCATCGGCCAGATAGTGGCGGGCCAGCTTCTTATAGAAGAATGGATGCATCTTCTTGACTTCCTCGTCCTTCAGCTCATTCACATCGGTGGCGATAGCTGCCGAGTCTTCTTTTGAAGCCTGCTTCTCCACAACGTTTTCCACATCGTCTTCGGACTCATTGTCAGAGTCCTTTTGCTCTAGCTTTCTGCTCTTTGCAGCTGGCGCCTCTGGTTTCTCTGCATTCTCCAGGTCCGATGGGGACAGACTGCATTCCCACAAGCACAGCTGTCCATTGCGACTGATTGTGTTGAGATGCAGGCTGTTTGCCTCGAAGAAGCACGACACAATGCCGTCTGTGTGGCCACTCAAGTTGTAGGTGCGGAAATTCGTTGTGTAGTGGATGGCACAGATCTTTGTGGAGCTGTCGCGGCAGCCAATGGCCAGCAGCCGCGAATCAGATGACCAATCCAGCCACGTAACATCATCATAGCCACCGAGGAAGCTCCGTTTCAGCACGAAAGGGTTGTACTCTCCGGTGATTTCTCCCGGTGCGCAGAATATGAGCACCAAATTCTCACGTGCCACGGCGAAATAGGTGCCATCCGGACTGAAGCAGATGCACTGCACGCCAGTTTGGAATTTGTGTCTGTGTATCACCGTGCAGGACATCATGCTGATGAGCTGAGCATCGCCCTGCTCGTTCACAGCGATCAGCAGGCTGCCATCCGGGGAGAGCGCAATGTTTGTGTAATTATAGCGTGACTCCAAAGAAAGGGTGCGTGATTTGTTGCTGATAAAACGGTAAAATGAATTAAATTTGACTCTTTGTGGGATCCTTGCAACTTACTTTTTCAAATCGTGCACCGTTATCCGATTGCCCACGGGGCTAATAACTGAATTTCCGTCCGGTGAGAAGACCAAATTGCCATTGCGATAAATGGTACCCAACAGGTTGGAAAACTATAAAAGCAGAGCAGAGATTGGTTTAGGGTGAGGATTTACAGGATATATTTACTTACTTTATAAGAAAATTTCATTTTGGTGGCTGGCTGCTAGCTAAAAAACAAAACAAAACTCCCGCACGTGTTGGTTGCTAAACCCTGGCCTTGCCACCTAGTTGTCGGACAGCTGTTCTTATGAAAAGGGAGCTGCCAACGTGTTTTACACCAGAAAAGCGAAGAAGAAGAGAAAGAAAAGATAAACAAAGAAATTCACAAATTGTGTCAAATAAACTAATCCCAACACAAATTTAACAATGGAGCAGAGTAAATCTGCATCAGACAAGCTGGCGGAACGCAAGGCGCGTCTGCTCGATCTGCACAAGAAACGCCAGGAAGCCCGCACCGACAATCATCAGGAAGTTGTGGCAGAAGACGCCCGCAAGAAACTGCCCAAAAACTGGGAAGCACGTAAACGCCAAGCAGAGTGGCTCCTGGCAGACGACAAGGCTCGGGAAGATGCCCAAGCCGCTGGCAAGGACTACGAGCGCCTGAAGCTGTTGGAGGTGTCCGGCATCGATGCTGAACGCATCGAGAAGAAGAAAAAACGCAAGGACAATCCCGATTTGGGTTTCTCCACATATGAGGCACAAACAGCAAGACAGTACAGCCGCCTAGTCAAGGGCATGCCATCACGAGACATGGAAAAGTATGAGAAGCAAAAGGCTGCGCTCGGGGAAGCCTTCTATGGCGGAGCACACACAACTTTGCATGCCCTGACGAAAGACACTCCGTCGGCAATAAACGCTATGGTCAAGGACCTAGACCAGCAAATAGAACGCAGAAAGAAGTACTCGAGGAGGCGCATATACAACGACGACGCCGATGTGGACTTCATCAACGAGCGCAACTCCAAGTTCAACAAGAAGCTGGACCGTTTCTATGGCGAGCACACTGCCGAGATCAAGCAGAATCTGGAGCGTGGCACAGCTATATAGACTTAAGGCAGCATCAACACTATAATATTAGTTTTAATTCCACTCATTAAAAAATCCAAAAGGTACCTAACTTTGTACAATATCTATGTTTGCATTAAAAACAAGTTGGCAGCCCTCAGGGTCTGTTTCCGTACCAGAATCACTTTAATAACAATCCACAGGCTCTTTGCGCAATAAAACATTAATAATATTTCAAAGTTCTTGGCGCTGGTTGTCCACTGGTCCCCACTAAGCTGTCCTAACATAGTCCTGTGCGGGATGCCTTTGTAGATGCATCACTTGAAGTGGATTTGGTTGCATACCCCGACAGTGTAAGAGCAGACATTTATATTTACTTGCACCTTTGCAGCTGACGTACAATTCGCAAAGAAAATGCAGAACTTTAGCTCCCAGGAAAAGTACTTAATTGCCAACACTCTGAACTGTTGGCCTGT